TTTGGCACTGACTTTGCAAACCGCTTAGAAGTCGTGTTAACCAGTTGTAAGTATGTAATTCTTACCATGGCATCTTTAACAGTGAAACGGTTAGACAAATTTGTTAAGCTTAATTCAAAAAGTTTCACTTAGGCTTTGGTAAGCCCCTGAACAATTGAAATGCTTATAAGCGACAATCTTAAGAGCTCTTCTACTCGTTGATTTTTCACGCTCGAGATTGCTGCGTTTCTGCAGCTCTTTATGCATCTGCCCGTTTCCCAGTTTAATCTAATCTGGTTGCTTGGAGTTTGTCAACATGTTCTCTAGCGCATTCATTGGCTCATTTGAGCAGGTAGTGCTGTCATACACTTTTGGCTCTGGTTACAAACAAGCCTTAATGTTGCGAATGGCAGTGTGAGATTTTGTATCAAGTATTAGCCAGGGTCATCTAGGAGTAGCTGATATGAATGATAAGATACTCTGCTATGAGATACATTACCAGAGTCAATATCACACTTCTCTTCATCACATATACACTCAACATCACGTAGATTTCAGTCATACAAATATGAGTAGTGAACAACGAGATACTGATGAATGATTAGTAGGTGGTGACATTAGTAATCAGTAGAAGATTGGACTTCTTTCTACATTTGACTGTGAGAGAGTTGAGCATTTATGGAGATCACATTCTCGTGAACATCACACTTCGGGTAGACATTCAGTTAACCCACCTTTATCACTTCTAATTGTAGAGGGATTTTCACCACTATGGTCTCCACCAGAACATCACCACAATCTTGAATAATCTAACTGTTATTTTCTGGAAATCACTGTGCAATGGAGTGAGTAGTAAGCACACTGAAAGTTATGAAACGAAAACGTGAGCTCAACTGATGGTGATAATAGAGGAGGTATTTCAAAATGATAGACATCAGTCTCAAATACTTATTGGAGTGTTGACATGATTGGTAATGTGAAGGTAACCAGACTTTTCGAATTGTGGATGGTAAAGTCAACTCCATTTCGACTATCACTGTTAAGATGCTAGTCAATGAATAACAGAGGGATAAAAGTAACTGGCCAGCAGCCAGAAGAGTTATTTCTTTATTCGTTGGACCAAGTAGTTTTAGGCATGTTTGGGAGATGGATGATGAGTTGAGCTCATTGGGAACTTGGTTGAACACTGGATAATCAATATTGAGTAGAAATCTACTTGAGTTAAGCCTGTCTAAGTTCCATGGATAGAGCAGTGTATGGGCCTTCATAATGATCACTCATATATGTGTTGTAGCTGCCTTGTAATCTGGCCACTTTCAATACACCCCCTTTCTCATTCTTCAATGTTCACTTGTCGATAGTTTGTTCTTTCAAGTAAATAGTACTATATCACTGTATGTTGTAAATCAAATAAACAAATCTACTCTGGAATTCAATTCTACCACAGTGGCCAAGTTTTACACCTATATTGATGTTTGTTCTTTCGAGTTTTCCGAAGACTTCGTAGCACACACTACTTAACTGCATCCTCATTAGTAGCATACACGACAGACACTGTAACAGATCATCAGATAATGTGCAGTTTGACAAATATTCCTCCAAATCTGCAGGTGGCAATTTGTCCACCAGCCTTGTCAAAACACTCGACTTCGATAAGTAATTAGTGATGAGTTATTCGTTACGGTGATATAAACCGTCTATTAAAATGTACAGAATTTTATTCCAACAGATATTTCACTATATACTCTTTAATGTTTATAGTTTCTAGCGTGCGAACTGTGTATCAAGTCTATCAGTGTTTAGTATGGAACATTTCTTCACTGAGATTCAATAATAATGCTCATTCAGTTCATTCTTTCAGTTTTCGGAAGTAGGTGATGGGCGGAATTTGATTGGTTTTAGAGGAAGACGTTTTCGTGAAGCATGGACATTGACGAGGGATCCAGTGAAACCGTATGAAAGTTGAATACCTGCTTCGTGTTTGATTGGGCATTATGCTCGGAGAATACCATGATTGTCACTGTATTGTTTCATTTTTCCTTAGGCAAATATGAATGATGGTTAGATTTCAGCTTCAACATTATTGAGCAGAATGATAGAAGCATTCATACATGCATACATACATACATTGCAACAAGTTCATTTTTGCATTGTGTTTAATTGATGAAAACACTGTCTGAGTCGATTTGCCAACTCTTGAGAATGTGGAAATCCATGTGAATACTCATCGCCATTTTAATTTTTTTGTTGAAAAATATGTACGATTTCTTCGCAAAAAATTTTGGTCATAGAATACTCTCAATATATTTTCTTTGACACACTGAACTTAATGTGAGCAAATAACTGTTAAAAAGTCGATTGAATATGTAGGTTATTGCGAATGTTTTACAGCGGTATACAGAAAAAATTCTGAACAACAATGAGACTGTTTTATTTCACTAGGCTGATGTATGTCGTAGATAGGCGGGATAGCTAGTCTTGGCGAAATACGAAGAAACAGTAACAGCCAATCAAATTTTTTGATGTGCTTTAGTGTGTATAAATTTGACAATCCGTTGTGACTTGAACATGGAAAGCATTTTCGGTTATTTTTGAGGGAAGTATAACTGGTAAGTATTACATGATAGTAAGAAATTCATGCTAGGAATTGCCGATATCTACATCCTTTAATGATTCCATCAAGATTCTCAACACATTTTTCTAATTTCTCTCTATTTCTTATTCCTGCCTCGTTTCTTCATTCATCGATGTGAGGTGTGGTGACTGTGACTGTTAGACAATATTGTCATATTCTATGTTAATACTGACTGACTGAAGATTTCTATCAAAGACTTTACTGTTGGACTTTGATGGACTTTGCAATGAAATTATTGTGAGGTTACTAAGTCACTCGTTATAGCCATTACAGGATGTGATTTGTCTTCAGCTGTGGTGCTCAATGTCCATATTTTGAGTTTCTAAGCGAACAATGCCCTTGTGAGTCAATAAGTAAAACTTGCTGATCAGATCTAGATTGTATTAATGGGGCTCCCTGTTAACTATGCGGTACGAACAACGTGCATTGTGATGCAAGAAAACAAGAAGAGAACTTACATTTAGCTTGGTGGCAAGTTTAAGATGTGCTTTTAAAATTTTCCTGGTTTCACGATGGTTTGGAACTCTGTGTGTCTGACATATAGAGTATGGATCACGAATAGAAGGAGACATTCAGGGCTAAATGCAATTATCTACTCCAGATAGTAAGTTAAAATTGTGGTGGTTAAAGCATTTCAGCTTTATGTGCTAAATCCCTACCGGAACATAAATGATAAATGAGGCTTCAAATTAGTGGGACACTTATCTTGTGATTACAATACTTACAGCTGCGTAGACTTCACTGCTAATTGTCTTTACTGTCCTTCGATCAGTATCAACAGTGTATAAATAGGCTTTTGGTGAACTAGATACATGAATTTAACTGTGAACATGTGAATTCTCCACCCAGTTTTATCACAATGGAACTAGGAGCCACAGATGTCAACTAAGGTTCCCCTTGAAGTGGTTAGTTGGTGTGGAACTGATTCAATTCGGAGTTTTTTCCCCACGAACTGAAATAGCCCTAAACATGATGAAAATCCTGGGAGTTTGGAGTAGTTGTTGCGTCTTGAATTGAGACTCTTCAGAAGTCCACACCCACAACTCTATGAAGGATGGAGTCGAAGACCATAGGGTTTTCTGGTGTTATATCCTGAGCAGACAGAGATTTGAAAATGTGAACAGTGGAACACTAATCCAATGGTTGAATAGTAACATGTCTACCAGGAGACTGAAGTTCCTAGGCTTAGTTACCCACAGGGTTGTGAGTGTTCACTGCTAGAGAAACTCTGACTTGGATGAAACAGTTGTCCAGTGCTGCCACTTTTTCAGCTGTTCTCCATCCAATGTTAGTCCGTGATACAAATAACCTAAAAATTCCTTTGGTTTATAATAAGAATTTGTTTTTCGTGAACCGAAATCTGGAAATATTTATTACTGAAGAAATGTGAGTGGTTATGAACTACAACTATACTGTTCACGGATGATACCTACAGCTGAGAAAAATGATGGGTCTTAGCAAGATTTAAGTCGACAGTTTTTTGATACAGTCTAACTCAATTTTAGCTATCCCATCAAATTTCTGACAACATTTGACAGTATTGAATACCTAACAGACTTTCTGTTCTGAGTTAACTAACGTCCGTAGTCATGTCATATTACCTTAACACAACGCTCTCCAATAATATTAAAATTAAGCATAACTTCATTGCACTAAGAACCGAAATATTTTACTGAACGCCATAATTCGGAAGACACTTTCACATAAATATAATCATTATGCAATGATAACTCTATCGAGTTAATCTAATGGGATTCAAATATCGTTCACTGGAGGTCAGTTTACTCATCGGTGTATGTCAATGAAAAAGGTAGGCTTGGAGAGTAAATAAAGTAAACTTTCTGGTATCACTATGATACAACGTGCAGTTATTCACTTCAACAGTGGTATAACTGCTCACTTCGTTCATTAGTGTATTATGCCAAGTATGGTTATTTGGCCATTATCCAAAGCATCCCACTTCGTTAATCATTTAACTCATAATGTGAACAAATCTAAAGCCTTAGTGTGCTTAAAAATTATCTTATTTCTAGCAGTTTTATAAGTAGTGTCTTCCACTGCTGTCCTGTGTGACACAGGTTCGAGTCTGTGAGATATCATTAGTTTCCATGATGTTACAGATGCTCGTTTTCGAAGAGTGTCAATAACCAAGGAGCTAGGTAATCTGGAGCTTAATATTCAGTCAGTGACTGGGGTTTGATAGTAGTTTCATTATAATACCAATAGATTCGCTCATTAGCAAGTGCCAACCGGCATGATGTTGACTGAATTCCAGTGTCTAGTCAGTTCGACTATAATAAATTCAAAATGTAACTATCAAAAAAGTTGTACAGATATCTCTTGTTTGCCACTATTTGTTTAGAAGATATCATTCTTATCCTACATTATGGATTCAGAAGAATTTTTGTCTGCAGCTCAACAACTAATTCAGTTCATTGTAAAGTATCGAAATGGTGCATTCTGTCGTGAATTCCCTGTCCTACCTGACCAAACTAATATCAAGCCTGGTTATCTGATACCTCTTATGCCAAATAGAGCCCCCGAGGATAAAGAAAACTTTGATCAGATACTTCAGGATATTAAAGATAAAATTATGCCCGGATAATGCCTGGATAAATGTTGAAGTGTAATAAACTAGGCATTGTTTTCGAGAATAGTCGAAAATCTGATGATTACAAAATATTTTATTTATCATGGATTGGATAGCAAACATTTCAAAACAATTTTCATCAAATCTGTGCATGTGGACAGCTATGCACATAAACTCTGCTTAGACTATTCTGAAATTGCATATGGTATGGTTTGAGAAGGTAATGATAACGTGAAGCACAAATGTTTAGGTTAGATAGACATGACTGGCGAACTGCACACTGTGATATAATAGTCAGTGTGAGTAGTCTACATCAGGGATGATAGTTGTTTCATGTCTTCTGATCTCTCGATATTTCACAGTGAATGTCTAATCTTCAGACTGGATGCAATAACTTGATAAAGTCAACATTATCACTCCGTTTAATTGAAGCCTACAACATCTCCATTCTAAACAATGTGACTGTACGTCAAACTCCTGATTTTCTTCAACCAATCTTCTTTCCATTAGCATACACTGAATACTTTAGAATTCACATTACCCTCCAAATCACTTCAGTCAGTCAGACGTTTTGTCTTTATCCCCAAATCGATAATTTGTAAATTGTAGCAACTCGCTGTTCAGCTTGACAGAATTACACTGAAGTTCTTTTCATCTCCTCTAATTCAAAACTCTTCTGCAAGTGTCAGTGATTTCTTATGCTTTTCTTGAGTTGAAATGGGAATGGTCACTTGTCATGACTATTGTTGAGGAGAATTTGGACGATGAAGTTCATCTGCTAATGTTTTACTTTACACAAATTAACTGGTGTTATCCATGTTCTTGATCTGAAAGTCTCCGTATTCTCTACGTGTAAAATGCTTCCTAATTGATGAAGCTAATGAGAATGATTTTTGCAGTCCAATTAAAGTGTTAGGACAGTGTGCACTCATGGTTGTAAATAACTGCTGGGAAAGCCGATTTTGAACACAGAGTTGTTGCAGAATCCTGCAGTTCAGAGAGAAGTATCTCAGTGTTGTTAGGCCAAGTGAAATAATGAACACTACTCATTCGTATACTTCTGATAAAATTGAGTAATAAGAATCCAGTGAAGCTGATCTGTGCATTTTGTCACCTAGATCAAAGTGATCTGAATACCGAACGACCGTTTTGGTCTTTTCAGGCTGAGTTCATCAGCAGTTGGGCAGTTGAAAAACTAATCAGCTGCGAGGATTATCAACATGGATCGTGCAATTTGTAATTCATTTGCAAATTGACCACCTATTTGCCTCATGCAGCACAGATGTAAGTAAACTACAACTGACTAATATGTTACTTCCTTGTTTTCCTGTTCATGTTTTCGAGATGTATTCGCCAGCACAGATGTTTGCTTATGATGAAAGACAATTCAGGTAAACAGGTTGCATCACCTTGTACAGTGTCTACACACCAGTAAATGTGTATGTAGGGTATCTTAGGTTATCTAGTAAACTGCAGATATGTTGATAGAAATACTGATCACAAATTGTACTGGAAACTGCATTCGCACACCGATATGTTTTATTTAGTATAGGCTGATGAACCATATTTTGATTAAATTATTCGTTGGAACACCCATTAATAAGCCATCCAACTGAGCGTTGCTTTAAGTGTCTGAAGTTAATTGAAGTCTAGTGAAGGAAAGAAGTATTCAGATGACGCCTGTGTAACTAACTTCATGTCACAACACTCAAGTGCTAACCAGGTCCTGGTCTTATTTCAACCATCATAGGTTCAGTCCACTTTTAAATTCTCCAAACATCATTTCAATGTTACGTAAAACTTAGCAATGGTAACAAACACCAAGCCTAATACCCCCGCTTGAAAGACTCTTCTTTTTATCATTCACAGTTAGCTGACTCAGTCACTATCAATGCTCATAAAATGTTACTTACCAATTTCGACTGTTCACTTCTCTGGTTATGTGATCATCACATCATATCAGATGCATTCGAAGCCAATCCATTGTATCTACGTCACACTTTTGAAGGAATGCCTGAATATCGTGTAAGTCAGTAATTTTCTGGATAGCTTTTAAAGTGTCATCTACAAAAGCTTACTACGATAACCGTTGATTCTATTTCCCACTGAATAATCATAATCTCGTACATCTCTCCCCTCTTAATTTTCATTTTCGGTTCACACTACTATTTAGTAATAATAATGTATTTCAGTTATGGCTTCACACAATTAAAATATCATTTTGACTGTCTGAGATAGGCGTAGTTTGGCAACCTAGTATTGCCACTCGGTGCTAATTGAAGGTGAAATAGAAATTTGAAGTGTGGCCGGATTCGAAGTACTGACCACCTGGTTTCCTACCTGGTACTCTACAAACTGAACTACGAGGCTCAACTCCTGACCAGATCAAGAGGTGGTAATGCATCAGGAGTTCATATGGTAGTCGGGCAAAACCCTTAGTGACTGGAGTGAAATAAAAATCTGATCAGCAGTTGGACCTCGTGGTTCAGTTGATCGGTGGTTCGAACCCGGCCGCGGTCCAAATTTCCATTTCCCTTTCAATCATCACTCAGTAGCGATAAGAATAAACACCTTTATGGTTTCACTCCAATCAACTGGTTCCTTCCAGTGTAATTTGAACTGAAATGTTTTTTATTCCATTTATTATTATATGTATAAGCATAACAATAACCTTGCCTAGGTAACTAGTTCACTAGTTACTTGCCGGTCCTAAGACCAGATTAAGAGGGAAGTTTTGGCATACGACTAGCAATCCTACAGCGCAAAACCAATCTAACCGCTAAAGAAACTTCAGAGCACAAACGAAATATAAAACATAAAATTAAACTTATTTCTAGCTGGAATCAGAGAGGCGAAATGATGCCAGTTGGTGAAAGTCTTGACGAAGCCAATTGGCCGATGTGTCTTCCCTTCTTTCGATGAAAACAAAAGTAAGGATTGGGACATAGGATGTCCAAACAATGTTTGAACCTAGCTGGCAAGGCTACCCAGATTGCAAAAAAGATGGTGAGGTATGGCATAGAAGTGCTAGGCTAGGAATCTGTGAGGAATCTGCGAAAGCAGATGGACTGGAAGTGGACTCTCCAAACTGTCAACTGGAGAGTTAATAATCTACTCGGATATTGTTACCCAGACGACAGCCACGAGCACACTGAGTTTTCAAGTGGCTATCATGATGTCCCTCTCCCAAGAGCATCGCAGGCTCTCAGGCAATGGGAACCAATCTCCTCCTACACGATCAGCATCATGACAGCAAGATGCATTGAACTCACAGGTAAGGATGGTTACTATCATACAATGTTACGCTATTCACCTACAAATAATGGAGATGAATAGAAGGAGGGGAGGGATTCTACAGACAACTGCAATCAGTAATGGATAAGACCCTACCCCAGATGGCTACATCAGAATCCATTTTAATGGGTGACATGAATGCCAAACTGGGAGTGGACAACACAGGAAGAGAACTAACCATGGGCCGAGAATCACTCGGTCAAATGAATGAAAACAGAAAACTGTTTGCAGACCTCTGCGCATTTAATGATTTAGTGAATGGAGGCAGTGTATACAAATACTAGGTAACTCACAAAGCGACATGGATTTGATTTCATCAGATGAACGCACTACACTAAAAATCACATCGACTTCATTTCAATCTGAAGGAAGTGGAGACGCAGCCAGCCCACTAGACAAAAGATCAGATCAAGAAGCGAAGCAGATGGAAATGGTTCACACCACTCACTATCTAGTGCAAGGAACCCACCTTCAAAGTGAAGTTGGAAGCATTCAAAGAAGTGGGTGATGATAACCACAGTTCAAGTTCAACACTCAGAACAGAAACTGAACTGAAGCACGAAACTGCGAAGGACATCTTCACATCGTCAGTCATCAGGAAAAGATGAGATATATTAAGGAACATCCCTGAGGAAACCTGTGTGGGAGAACACTGGAACTCTTTGGAAGAGATGTGTAAGGAAATCTGCATAACTGAGTTAGGAAGGAAGAAGAAAGAAGACACGGAATGGATTTCGACGGACACATGGAAGCTGATATAGGAGGGAGGGGAAGATGGTGAAACAGAAGATGAGCCAGT